CAAGAAGTCTTGAAATCAATCATAGAGAATACTTATTCTTGATAGTGATCTTGTTAAGTTCTTAATAGTCTACCCACATGTGCAGAGATCCATCTTTTTTTTTTACAAATAGGATAGAAGTTTTTAGAAGAGATTTCAAATAGCATATGAAGTTCTTAGCAAAGTTTTCATCAATATAATCCTTTAATATAATCAACTCATTTTGTGATAAGATGTAGATTGATTCAAATGGTGTTTGAGCTCTATTTGTAAATCAATTGTATAATCATAAGATTAATATTTTGGAAGAATATTTATATTTTTCTTTTCAAAAACATCTTGGAAATCTTGATATTGGCTAGGAATACAATTTGACATCTTTCTACTATGAAAAATAGGTGTGGCATATATATCAAAAGATGATCCTTTTTTTGTTGCATGCATGAAAGCTCTTGTATCTACAAGTAAGCGTTTGGATGTACTAAGTTTATCTATTTTTATTTCACTTTCAAGATTTTGGATTAAATTACAAGTAAATTTAAGGTTACAAAAAAGCCAATCTATCTGAGGATTATATTTTTTTAACTACAATAATCCTAAAATAATTAAATTAAAAAGAGATTTTATCACATTAAATATTACTCTACTATTATGATCTTTAATTGCTATATCTAAAGAAATAGTCTCATGAATGATATTTTCAAAAGATAAAAAATGACCATCTATGACTTCTACATGTATAGGTTTAATTTTCTTGACTATATATATTTCTTGTCTCTTAACAAAGTCTTTGTCTATAAAATAGGATGAGGCTCCTGAATCTAAAAATATAGAGACTATATGATTTTTAGGTCCTAAACACATATCTATTATAAAACAAAGCGAGGGATCTGAGAAAAAAATAAGACCTTTATTAAGTGTCGGACATGATTCTAGCCACACAATTCCTATTGTAGCTGGATTTTTTTTTCCTAATACATTGTCTTCTTTGGCAATCATGCTCTTCATTTTGTAATTGTATTATTTTTTTATATAATATTGAGTAATGTGCTTAGCTTCTCTATAATATGAGTACAAATCATCTTGATGATGTCAAGTCTTTTCTTGCTTAGTGAGGGGTTTAAAATGTATTGTATCAATTTGCATTGATTCCAATCTTGATAAATAAGTTTTTGAAAATTTAAGAGTTGTTATCATTACTTGGTTTGTTCTTTTCTATTTAAGTCTTTGATCTTGATATCTTTTAAATAATTAATTTTTGAATGGAATAGCTTGAGTAATAAAGTGTTCTAAAGATTTTACTTTTGGCATTGTCAATAATAAATCTTTGACATTATTCTTTAACTTATATTAAAATTGATTCATAAGGGCTTTGTTATTCTAATCCACATCTGAAGTAAGATTTTAGAATTCAACAACATATATGGTAGTTGATTGTAATCTTTGTTATAAAGATAAGAGCTTCATCTTTGTTATTCTTTCTTGATTACTATCTCTGAATGTAGCCATAAACATTTTTAGGAATAAAGTCAAATTATAAAGGAATCTTCTTCCATTAACAATGCAAACCAAGAGAGAGTACTTCCAGATAGAAGTGTTCTTATGAATCAAACTTGAATAAATCCTTGAGGATATTAGAATGGATGCAACTTTAGATAGAACTTAATTTGTTGTAAAAATCTTTAAAATTTTAATCTCATTCCAACAAACTTCTTAGGCATATTAATTTGTGTCTTTGTCATACTTGTAAAAGCAAAACTTCTTGGATTTAGTTGTGAAGCCAATCTACTTGCTTCTATCAAGTGCACAACTTTTTGCCAAAGATTTTGAACTTCTTTCATAGGCATGGGATTAGTATTTTTGTTGTTGGCATTGGTGATAAGTGAAATTTCTACTCTAAAAGTATTAACAAGTTTGTGAAGATCTATAATAGTTACAAATCTATTTTAACTTCCACCAAGTGTAGCATCCATGATTTTTTATTCTATTTCTAACAACTTAATAAATCCACAAGTCAAATTAGAGGAAGGTAATCTACAATCTCTAATATCAAATAAAAATTTCTACAAAGAGGGATAATTCGATCTCTTTTAGGAAAATAAATTGGAATTAAAAAATTAAATGGTTTGTTTAAAGATGGATATTCTATAATCTTCAAAATATAATAATAAAAATAGAATAATCTACTCACTTCTAAAATAAGACAAAAATAATAACTTAAGACTCTTGTCAAACTATTAAGTACATAAACTTCAAAAAATTAAAATATCAATACACTCTTGTGTTATTCAAAAAGATTGATATTTGACATGTTTCTCTTTTGATATTTTGATTTTAAAATCATCCACCTTGTAAGATAGGTGATTTGGTAAAATATTAAGTAATATTTTGAAATATCATAGGATACTTTGAGATCTCATTATATCACATATATACTATAAAGGAGACTAAACAAGAAATTGAACAAAAGAGTTGCAATAAGAAAGCTAATAAAAAATTAATTAAATTAGATGAATATAAGATAAATATTAAGAGAGGCAAATTAGAACTCTAAAAAATATATTATTAAGATTGAGGATCTCTTTAGCCTTGACTCTAATATATATTAGATATTAAGAAGCTTTTTAAGAAGTTTCTATATTGCTTAAAAATGAAGCAACTTTAGGAAGCTTCTTGAGAAGTTCTCCATATTATATGAAGAAAAAACAATCTCAAGAATCTTCTCAAATAACTTCCTTAATCATTCTAATTTTATTTAAATTTTCTAAAATATTTTAAGAAATTTTTAGAATATTCTAAATATCTTTTCTAATTTTTTTATCATAATCTTTTAGAAATCTTTTAGAACCGCCTATTAGAATATTCCAATAATCTTCTTGTTGGATGTCAATAAGACATCAAGGGTGAAATATTACCCAAAAAGGCCATATTTGAATTCCATAATACAAAGATTTTTTATGAGTATGTGAATATTATAAATATTACTTTAATTTTCTAATTGTAATCAATGTTTGATGTAAGAAAATATAAAATTGATTCACCTATATACAATATTATTGATTTCATTGTAGGTTTGTTTCTCATTAATATAAACTATTTTATTTGTTTTGGTCCATTTTTATGTCTTTTTAGGATACCACCTTTCGAAAGCTCTAAAAGAGAGTTTTTCTTTACTACACTTGTCTTCTTTTATAGGATCTTCCCTTACTCTTCTTGGAATTATGGAAAAGTAAATGTTATCCATTTTAATTAGCAAATTGCACCCCTATAGTAAAAAAAAGAAAATAAATCCTACAACAAATAACATGAAAAACCAACATTATTATATCCTTTACTTGACCAATATTACAAAATTTAGGTGGTTGATTTAATATTCTCCTTAATGTATGTTTTTTTTTTTTTTTTTTTTTTTTTTTTTAAAAGGTTGATTAATATGCAAGGTTTCTAAGATGAAAATGAATAAATAAAAATGCACCAGGTTCCAACAGTTATGTTTCTCAGATGCCAAAACCTCAGTTAAATTCTTTCTTTGACATTATATTTTTAATAAGCCACCCAAATCTAAAAATAATATCAAAGTATTTCACTTCTCTTAAATAACTGCTAATCTAAACAGATATATTTAAATTTTTCACCAAATGCTAAATGGTTTTAATCACCACAAAACCATTTCGTCATATTTTATTTTTGATACAGAAGAGTAACCTTTGCATTGAAGGATGAACATTCTTACCTAAAAACTTGAAAGAAAAAAAATGTAGGTGTTACTTTTTGTATGGCTTATGATACTATTGTTGTCGGTCACATTAAAGACTAACTTTATTTCTATTTATGTATATAATTTTGTTTTATTTCCTTTTGTTCTCTTCTTGTCTCTTGTTTTTTTTTTTTTTTTTTTTTTCTTTTGCTCTTGATTATTTTTGTTATTAATATGTCAGGGTTTGGAGTGTTGGTTTACTCTGTCTTCTCACTAGAAAAAAGCAGAAATGATACGCAATTGACAAATTTAGGCTTTATATTTTTTTGACAAAATTGTAAGAGTTCGTCAATAACGGTGCTGTAAAGAATGTGGATATATGAGATGGACATGCGATGGATAAGGAGGTCAGAGTCTCTGGCAACTTATCTGCTACTCTCTCTCTCGCCAAAATGACCCAGAAATCCCCCTAAAAAATAAACTTTAGGTGCCAAAGTCAGAGTGATAAGAGGAATATAAGATGAAGTGAGCACCTTCTTTTTTCTTTTTAAGAATGCCCACTTCCCAGCCATCTCATCGTTTTAAAAGATTTGGAGTCCACTTAAACTATCTTGCTACTCTCTTCATTGCTCATCCATTTTTGGGTAGTTGTGATATCCATCTTACTTGGAACTTGGATCTTTAATAGAAGCAAAGTATCTTCTTCACTCTTTTTCTTCTGTATTCGTTTCTGTCTATTTGTAGTGGTGCTGTTTGTGTTAAATGACGTGGCAATCTCAATGGGATGATCTCTCAAGACTTCTCCACAACACAGTTCACCGAATGTCAACCTCTTCGACGACATGACAGTTGGGACAACGTCTATTCTTAACAGTGAATAATCTACGCAGTCTATATAATCTCTTTGATGGTCCCACTCATTTGATTCCCACCTGCGAAGATTTACGCTCATTCTCTTTCATGGGTGGCTGAAAATAAGGATTGTGCCCCGTTTAAAATTAAAGTTGGTCACTAGTGGGCTGGTTGGTAGAGAAATATATGGCTGTTGTTAAGCTAGGAAACTCAATAGAGCCGATATTCTCTCATAAAACTCCAGCATTCAAGCAATGATTTGACCACAATGATCTGTACGTGAGTCATGACCGAGAGTGATTTGGGAGTACTAAACCTTGGATATCAGACAGTTGCAAGAACAGCTGGAGCCATGCCACGTTCAAGGAGCTGAATCGTAGGCATCAACTTTAATCTCTAACTCCATAAAGATGAAAGGAGAAGAATGGACCAACCCAGAAGCTGGAGAAATATCACAGCAACACAGAAGATATCGAATCTGAGAGAGATGCTCATGAGAGCTTAAGCATGTCTAGCCCCCACATGTGAGCTCAAAGAGTGGCCATGAGTTGACCAGGTGACATCATCTTCCACGAAGGCCCACAGGCTTTAGAATTGGTGGTAAGGTTTGGGCCAGAAGCTACAGCCAACCCGTTTCAGGAGCCTCGTACCTTTAGTCACCAGTTAAGTTTACAAGGTATTCTAGTACTAAAATTTCTGCCGTAAATGTACATTGTGTAGTTTAGTCCAGCGAAACCAGTCTCTCCAGGAAGCTTTACTGGGTCTGGGAACTTGCGCCAATTACACCAAGTATGTTCCCTTGTTAAACAAGACAACACATAGATGCCTCTTTTCCTCTGGAGCTGTCAAATAAATCAAGCCGTCTCATAGGCACTACCTAATGTTGGTAGACTGAAGGATGTCAGCTCTGCGAAATGTAAGCTCTTGCCAGAGCCTCTCTTCCAGGCCTCTTGGACCCAAACGCTTCATCGTGCTGGCAGTTATATCGTCTATGATTCCGGGAGAGTCAGCGGAACTGCTATCCATAGTTTTGCCATTGCATTTTAAGAGAATGCCTGCGAAAAGAAAACAGTGTCAATTTTCCTTCTTGATATAGAGTAAATGCGTTGAGGAAATGGACTAAGAGCTCCTTGCGAATCTGAATATCAGCAGAAAATTGATCATGAAATTCGGAACAAGGATCACAGTTTTATGTAGAGCATGAGACAAGGCATCGAACAACAGTTGATTAGCGTAGGGCTACCTCTGTTTTACCTAGGACGGTTTCGACCAGGTATATATCACAGATTAAAAAGTATTAAGAATTAAAAAAGAAGAAGAAAAGAAGATGTGCCAGTCTTCGCGACTGCAAATTCCAAAGCCTCATGCAGAGGCAGGGAAGTACGGTTACACAGTGCTCCATCAGCTGCTTTAGATAGGTTCTTGGCAAGAGACGTCACAATGTGATAGAATCCATTTATCAATTCATTCACAACCCACTACATTGACGAACATGACTGCAAGGACTAACTTCTGATATTCCTACAAGAATCCATTGACACAGACAATCGTGACCCCCAGAATGCCTCGCAACATTCAAAAGATTGAAAGAAAAAAGTACGATTACTTACCAGGCGTCCTGAAAGGGCTAGGTACAACAGGAGTAGGTGGAACTGGATCACTCTCCATCGAGGCAGTCTCTCCAGGTCTTAGCGGTCTACAAGTTCTGGGAGGCGAGAAACTGAATCCAGGAGTTTCCGGGAAAACCAAGCAGTCGTTGAGCTGCTCGTGACGAATGACTTGCGCTAGAGGAGTCTCAAATACCAAATTGGTCCGGCAGGTCGAATATTCTGCGGTCAAAAGTTCCTCGAGCCCTAGAGACTGATGAGCATCGCTCTTAGAAAGAAAAGAAACGAAATCTGATGGGGTGGACAACGATGGGCTTTCGCTAACAGTAGAAAGGACTCGAGTTAAACGGGGTGTTTGAGGTGATGGGGTCAACTCTGTACTGCTAAGTACGCAACCTGTGCTATCTGGAGGGGTAAATATGAGAGGTTCACTACCACAGGGACTCTTACAATTTAACAAAGCAGTCGCAACCAGTGGGGAATAACTAATGGAACCAGACTCGAGATCAGCAACTAATGAGCAGTTAGTCGCACAATTTTCTCCACGAATCGGTGTTGATTCAGGGCCTCTTAAGTTGCACGGCTCTTGATCAAGGTTGTTACGTGACGCAGATGATCGCTTAGCGGCTGTCTCAAAGAAACTGTTCCAATCCTGAAAAAATCGACAATTTTAGATTCTTCCAATCGACCAGGTAAATAGTAAGCGATGAAGAAATAAAATGTAACAAATACACAGAAAATCCCCCAAAGGAATAAAAAATCAGTAATTGTTCAACTTAGCTCGTACATGAACTCTTCGCAAGGAAAACTATACTAAGGGAACACGTGAGCTGTTTGAATGATGACTAATCGCCTTGGATGATATGAAGAGAAACCCTGACCTGGAGATTTTCATCAATGCTTGTTAAAGCATCAGCAAAGTCCTGTACTTCTTCAGGAGCTATATGATTTGATGATGAAAGCTTGTGAATACTCAGCACCATAGTATCAATCTACATCCAAACGATCATTTAGAAATAGATAAGAGCAGCACAGCCAAACTTGATGGAAAATGCAGCATCGCACCTTGGCTGTTTAAGAGGTCTGCTACTTTCGCCAACGTCACTAGAGGCGATATATTTTTACACTTCGTGGTTTGATAAAAATAATACCACCATCATAAAAAGAAAGTTAACATAAAGGAGGACGAGAGCTATGGTTGAGATAAGTTTGCACAAGATACCACCGATTCAAAGGCATATTCCTCATAAACCACACAGCTCTGAGGTTGATGAAATATAGACAACAACAGGGGACAAAGAAGAGAGATTCGCCAAACTTTATGCAACACAGGATCAAAGAAGACTACATGACACGTATCTAGTAACCGTCCCAATTTTCGCTTACAAGAAGGGCGAAGAGATACCTGCTGCAGCGTTTGCGTAACCTGTGTATGAATATGAAGCAAGTTCTGAAGAGGACTTTTGGTTTGTGTGCGTAATACTTGATCGGGTTCACTATGTTGTATCTGACTAGATGAGTCGTCCTCCTCATATGATGTGTGCACTAAGGATCTTCTTCCTTTGGGATGAGGGGTCCCCTTGCCCTTCCTTGACTTCATTTTCGCCTGCATCATGCTGTATCAATACGCCGTATTCGAGCTCTGCTGAAGAAAACCCTCTCATGCATCATAATTAAATACTGATTAATTATCACACCCGAGGCAGCAGATGTGAACTCAATCGACCTGGAAGATAATGATCTCACTGATCTAATTGAGGAATGCGAGCAGTTTAAAACAAAAAAAAACTTCAACCAAGTTTCTAACTCTAGTAGAAAATCATCAGCAACCAATCATAGCGCCGCTAACTCAATACCCGCAGCTACAAAGTCATCAACTCTACATGAATTTGACAGGACCATTCATCTATGAACTCTATAACGTGAGGAAGAACAAATTAAACAAACCATATGCACAACGACCGGCGAATAAGCTTCAATAAGCCCCGTCCCAAACCCACTAACATTCGAACAGACAGCAAATTCAGCAAACCAAAAAACATCAGTAAAACCGCGATAAGCACCTCATTCACTCGGCATTCACACCAGTCTACGCCAGGCACATTACGATCGATCTTGGTCAGCTCAAAACCTGAGAACATATTTACTGATCTCACACTTTCTTGCCCTCTCGCCAAATTAAGGAGCATGAAGTCAAACACAAAAAATCCAATAATTACTTTCGTGCTTTTCAAAATCTATCAAGACAGTCACCCCAAACCCTAATCTAAAACTTCCTCTCCGCCTCCAGCATTTCATAATTCTCTCCAGACCTCTACTTGGAAACCGATTCAGCCAGCATCCGACATCAATACCTTAAACCCATCACTTATACTTCAATTTGGTAACACTCAAGCAAATTCCCCCAGCAACAGGGCACGCAGCAACAATCCGCAGGCAGCAGTTACAATTGCAACATACAATTTCTACAGTCCTTACCTGAACAGAAACTCGTTTGAGCTGCTCGCTGGCCCAGATCGCGGCAGGCTACCCTTGTTCGAAAGCGCGGTAGAATCTGAGTTCGAAAAGAGGGGTCGTGATGTGCGTAACGGCTTCCCTGAAGTGTGGTAAGCGGAATCGGCATCACCATTTGGCAGCGACGACGATGAGATCCGATTTGTGGAGCTTCGCTTCGACGTTTCGCTCATGGCCTGAAGTTTGAAATTGGATGCGGGGGAAATGGATGGATGATAAAGTTATGTGTTCGTATTTCATCCTTCATCCAACAGCACACGCTTCAAGTCGGCTCAAGAGTGCTTTTAAAACTCCCTTTCTATTCTTTCTTTTTCTTTTCATTGCTCCCTTATTTCTTTTTCTCCATTGATTCCAACTTTGTATATTGATAAAAAAAAATATGGATTTTTCAAAGAGAATTCTAAATCAGTGTTTTTTTGTAAAAACTAAAACACCATATGCTTAAGGAGATATTGATGTGTAAAAATCTTAGATTATTTGATATAATCTCAAATTGTTTAATAGATAAATGAAATATGTAATCTCATGAAATATATAAACTCACGACACCTCATTCTATTAGCCTTAAATACCAAAATTGATATATAAATAATTATAGAAATTTATTAATAGAATAAAATATCATATATTAAGAATTTAAAATATTCATATCATTCAAAAATCTATAATTATATATATTATTAAATTTATTTTACTTAAAAATATTATCTACATTCATTATTAGTAATAGATTTTATATTTCATATTTTTAGTGGATTTATAAGTACATTTGAATACATTTAACTCTATAATTATATATATATATTATTGAAATCATTTTACTTAAAAATATTATCTACATTCATTATTAATAATAGTTTTTATATTTCATATTTTTAGTGGATCTATAAGTACATTTGAATACATCTAACTCTAATGTAATTTAAAATTTTAAGTTTATTTTTTGAAATCAAAATTTTCTCTAAAAAGATGTCAAGGATATAAATCCACCAGAACTAAAAGATCAATATACTCTTAAATTTTTCAAAAAGATTAGAAAATCATTCAAAGATAGTATAATATTAAATGACCAAAAATAAGAAAACTAAAAAGTCTTAAAATAAGACTAAGGACTAGAAAGACATTGACAAGAATAAAGAAGGCTTCATTCTTGCTTTTATATATACTATCCAACTCGGAGCTAAGTGGCAATATCCTATGGACTTCCAATATGTGTCTAATTTATTAAAGACATGTCTAAACTTGCAAAGAAAGTTTCTTATATATATATGCTACATTGTTAGCTTGTATCACATGCTATCTATGCATGAGATATATGGCTAACTTGTTGGCCAAGTTTTTAACCTATCAATCAATTATAAACATGTATAAAGTCACATATGTGTCTATGAAGCTTTGCTATAGGATAATATTGAATCTAATTATATTTATCTTCTATCTAGTACTTCTTATCTAAGTAAATATGTATGTTTGTGATATAAGGAGATTTAGACTTAAGGTATCAAGGATACAAAGCTCAAAGAAAGAAATCTTCAATGTATTCTTGTATTACTCAAATGAACTAGAAAGTCACTTCAAAGATAATATAGTATTAAAATAGAATGGCTATTGCCAAAAATAAAAAAGCTAGAAAGTCTTAAAATAAGACTAAAGACTAGAAAGGAATTAATAAGAATGAAGAAGGCTTCACTCTTGCCTCCATATATATTCTTAACTAGGAGCTACATGGCAATATCCTATAGGACCTTTAAAACATGTTGACTTTGTAAGACACAAATCTTAACTTGCAAGATAAGTTTTTTATATGTACACTATATAATTAGCTTGTTTTATAAGCTATCAATACATGATTAACTTATTGACCAAGTTTCTATCCTATCAATCAAATATAAATATATGTAAAGTCAAAGCAATATCTATGAAGCTTTTAGGAAGCTTCTCTAAAAAATATTATGAAATAAATTTACTTTTATTTACTTCTATTTAATCATATAGATAAATATCATAGTAAATATATATGTTTGTGACATTACTCCCCCCTTCTAGACATGAGTTCCACAAGGAGCAATCATTACATGTTGAAGAAATCCAAGATGGAACAAATTATATTTGCCACATATTCTAATCTTTGTTTTCTTTGAAGATGGTTAATGGGTCCTTTTAGCCATTAATAATGTCTCATACTAGAGTAGAATGACCACCCTATTATTTGATTTCTGTTTAATTATAATGGCCTAAACACACGATTAGGAGTCATTCCAACCTCTAATAAAATCACCAAACAACAAAAGTTTCTTCTAACGTTGTGATACTAAATATGTTGTATCTTGCCATCTATTCAAAGAAGGATGTATTATTCTTAAGGATCTTCATCTTGATTTCATCATCTTAAAGATTATTACAATTATAATGTTTTGTCCGATAAATTAGCAAGTAATAGTTCTTGAATTGAATCTACTCATTGTTGGTTCTCTATCTCTTTAGCATCACAAATGTACAAAAGTACCAAACAAGAGTAGAAGGTAGAATGCTATCTTCTTTGGATCTAATTTCTTTTATATTAGAAATTTATTATTCTTTATCTTGGTTTTGATAGATGTTGTCAATAAAAAATTTCAACCTTCTTTATTGCATTTGTAAGATTTTTTTTTAGCTCTCATGTACATTCACTAATATCATATCTGTACCAATGAACAAGATATTCTAATTTATTTTGGCACTACTTTGAATTTAAGCCTCTTCTACCTTGAATTTTTTATTATTATCTATTTCTATAAGACAGGGGGGCATCTGTCTTCTTCATGAGATATTCATTATCTTATATGGCTCAAAAATATATATATATATATATATAGAATACATGATGGATCTTCATAGATTTTGGTAGATATAAGTGATAAGCAATAATATTTACTTATTCATTAATAGAAAAAAAATCCAAGCCTACAATAGTCCAATTTATTACAATGATAAGTAATCTTGATATTATGACAAAGTAGCCATATCTTATCATCTATGTTGAATTGTGATTGTTCTTTGCAATAGGCATCAATATTGATCATTTTTAAGCTTTCTTTAAATATGCCTTTATTATTGCATGTAGTTTTGATAAGTGATTTGCCAAATCTTTTGCCATAGGATTATTAACTTTTAAAAGGTCAAAAATATCAAGTCATAGATGATAACCGTAATTGACAAAGAAAAGTGATTGTTGAATAGAAGAATATATAGAATTATTATGTATAAAATCTACTAATGGTAAAAAAATTATCTAATCATCTTAATGATAATTAATTGTACACATCAAATACTACTCCAAAACTTGATTCATCCATTTTGCTTATTCATGAGTTTGAGGATGAAAAGCCAAAGAAAGCTTTATATTAATCTTTAATATCTTGAAAAAGGTTTTTTAAAAATCTTGGTATGAATTGAGTCCCCCTATTCAATATAATATCTTTGGATAATCCATAATACTAATAGATATTGTCAAGCAAAAGCTTGGTTGTTTCTTCACTTGAAATAGATTTTATATATTGTAGAAAATGTGCCATCTTAGAAAAACGATCAACTATCACAATTATAAAATTATACAAACATGAGATTAGAAGATCCATAATAAAATCCATAGAAACAGAAGACTATTGTTGTTTTAGAATAAATAATAACTCAAAAAGTCCACAAAGTTGATAATGAGGGAATTTGGATCTTGAACAAATATCAAATGATTGTACAAAGACTTTTACTACCTTTTATATTTAAGGCCACCAAAAATCTTTAAATATTAATTCTAAAGTCTTATTGTATCCAAAATATTTGACTACTCAAAAGTCATGATGAACTTAAAAATACGTAAGCATGCTTTGCCTTCTAAAATATATAATCGTCTCTTAAAGTAGAGTAGATTATTTTTAAATCCAAACTTAGAAGTATCATGAGACTTAGAAGAATTATACTTGATATTATGAACAAAAGAAACAAAAGATATACTCGATTGAATTTCCTTGACAAAGATTGAATTAATAATTAATATTGATTTTATTGCTTAAATATTAGAAACCGTATATAAGATAAGGATTGAAGACCAAATAATAGAGATAATTCAATATTAAAACAATAACTAAATACAAGACAAGAAAGTCATGGCTAGACCATAAAAAGTAAATTGTTGAGACTGAGGATTCTTTTAGCCCCAACTCCTATATATATTAGGTCCTAGAAAGCTTCTTGAGAAGTTTTCATGAAGCTTAGAAACAAAGAAAGCCTAAGATCCTTCTACACCAAATTTCTAAATCATCTAAAGTCTCTTAGAATCTTTGAGGATCTCCTATGACCTTCTAGAACTATCTTAGAATTTATTGGAACCTTCTAGAACCTTTTTAGAACCTATTGAAATCTTCTGAAATCTTTTGAAATCTTCTAGGATCTACAAGAACCTTCTTAGAACCTTCTAGAACCTCGTAGAACCTTCTCAAACCTTCTTTAGTTGTATGTCCATGACATCACTTCTTCTTCTTCTAGCTTCAAGGTCTCCAAAAAGCAATGTTGTTGTAAGTCAATATATACATAAGAAGTTGAAGATCTGTCTCATGGTACCCACTACATATTTTAGTTATTTTTTGCAAAGCAAATGATTCATAGGCCACTATAGCCATTGATAGTGTCCCAAGCCTTCTACTTGTGACCAAGCATGAACTTCAATATCTTCATTATAGAATTATCTTGCAAATATTCTTTCTAGGCATCCTTCATAGGCAGGTTCTACCTTAAACACAATTATCAATAACTTATTATTAGATATCCTTCGATGTCTTTGTGATTCAAATGGCTCTTTATCTCAGAGTCGTCTTTGCAAGCTACTTGATTGAGATGGTATGACCAATAGGGTGGCTGTCTCTTGACTATTCATATCACATAAAGTAAATAAGACCAAAAGAATATAAATAGACTATGG